GAAGCAGGAGAATCACTTGAGCTCAGGAATTCAAGGTCCATCTGGGCAACATAGTGGGATCCTAGCTCTCTAAAAAAGCAAGAAAGGAAAGGAGAAGGGAAAAGGAAAGGAGATTTCACTGAAAACTTGTCTAAAGAGAACAATGAGTAATGGATTGGGGTAAAAAAAAAATGTACTAAAGTCATCTGCAGTGAAAATAAACAAACAAACAAAAAAGGTGGGCAGGGACAGGGAAAGGGGGCTGCAAGTAGGAGAGATCCTTTAAAAAGCACCTCAAAGGGGGCAGTGAAGGGATTTCTCCTGCAAGTATTAATCAGATCTCAGTTATCTGCAATAGAAGGCACTTTCCGTCTTAACTGAAACTCTCATACATACAAGTAACCACATTGGTGTAGAGAGGGTAAAGAGCCTTGTCCAAGTGTCACAGTTAGTGACTAGAAAGTATTTTCAGAGGCCAAAAAGTCCCTGGGCATGCATTTCTGAGTTCCCTTTCATAAGCAAGTTTCAAGTTCCAATCGAAGAGCTCTAGGTAACCACATATGCCTCAAACCTAGGACGACAGAGTCCTGAACAAGGGCTCAGGACTCAGAGACCTGATTCGTCTAAGTTCTCCTGGGTCTTTGTTCAGGACTCAATGGTCCTAGGTTTGAGGCATATGTGGTTACTTAGAGCTCTTCAACTGGAACTTGAAACTTGCTTGTGAAAGGGAACTCAGAAATGCATGCCCAGGGACTTTTTGGCCTCTGAAAAGACTTTCTAGACTCTAGAAAGCCCAGAGAAGCAGGCCCTGGTGAGCTGCATTCAGAGAGCCAGTCAAGGTTCTTTGTAAAGCACGAATCACTCTGCTTTGTGGTATCTGAACTGAAGAATGAATTAATGGTCTTAAATTGAAGGCATCACATTCACATGGTAAAGGGCTGTGTATCTGGATGCAGCACAACATCAGAACATAAAATACACTGGACTTTTAAAAAGTTGTATACAAGATGTTGGGATTGACATTATAAATTCTGACCCAAGAGGATGCAACAATCATAATGCCATACATGTATAACTTTGGAAAATCCAAATCAGTAACTTCTAAGACTTAAATCAAAGAAAATCAACAGAGAAATAAGCTTAGACATACTCTTAAACATGAGATAAAGGAGTAAAACTACATATAATACTTACAAATACCTTATAGAGAGGAAGGAAATAGCAGGTAAGTAGACAAAGATCAAAGGGAAACAAAAAGCTGTCGTTGGCGCTTTTAATCTTCTTCTCATTGTGCAATTCACTTTTAGCAGTCAGAGCAACCTTTGCACTACTCCCACAAACCAAAACTTTTTTCTTTAGCCAAACTCATAGTATCCATGAGCCCGATGAGAACTCTTTCAAGTACATAAATTACCCTTAACAATGGTACAAAAATAAAACATTGTTGATCCACTGTACATACACCCATCCATCTTTTTAGCTATTACCCCAAGTCAAAACAGCCCACTCTTCATCACAATCAGAATCACAAGCACTGCCTGGAATGATAGGTTTTCCGATCAACCTTTTACTTTCTTCATGAATAATTTTCTCAGAGGTCATCTAAATCAAATGCATACAGTTTTATCACATTCACTCTTTTAAAAATATCTATTTATAGTTCACCTCACCAGCGAACATTTTGGGGTAGCAGGAGTTGTCCCTGTGGTAGGCTGATGAAACCCCAAACTAACTAAATCTAGGGCCTTCCACTTTACCACAGAAGGTGGCCAAGAAAGAAGAGTCAGGCTTCCTCTGTATCTGGCCACAAACCAATCCTATAGCCACAGGCGATTGTCACCATGTGCCACATGTGGTTAACCAATTCAATCAGCCACTTTTCCTACAGGAAAAGCAAAATAAGGAACAGATCCCACCACTGGTAGAGACATTACATCTATATCCAGAAGACAGTCTGTATTCAGATGCACCAACTGCGGATATAGGCTCCTCATCTCTCCCAGTTGCATCCATTTCAGACCCTATAGGTCATTCAGTGTAGCTAAGTTACTGGCTATTCAAAAGGCAACCAAAATACAAGGTTATTTTGGTGTAACAGAAAGAGTACATCTAAAACCCTTGACAAGTCCTGCACTCTTGGGTTCAAATTCTAGCTCTGTAACTGCCTTGCTCTGTGAACCTCAATTTCCTCAATGGGCAAATGAAGGTGATAACACCTCAGAGTCACTGTAAGCAAAATGCCCAGTTCACTACTTGGCAGAAAGATGGGGCTCAACAAAGGATGGTCTACTTCCTACTGACTTCTCTACTCAGAACACTTTGTTTTCTGCATTCCTGGGTCAAAATGTACTTCTTAATAAACCCCTTAAATTGCCTAATCAATTTTAATAAGCCACTACTGTCTAGCTGTTGAAATTGTATGTGTGCATGTGTGTGTGATGGTATTAAATTTAATATCCCAAGTTTAATTTTGCTATTCAAAATGTGATCTACAGACCAGCAGCACTGGCATTACCTGGAAGACCATTTGAAAGTTGGACTCTCAGGCCTCACCACAGATTTACTGAAATCAGAATTTATATGATCGCCAAGTGATATGTTTACATCTTGAAGTTTTAGAAACACGGTTCTATAACACACATGGACACTCAATAAGTGCCCTAGACTCTGTACTTAAGGAATCAATGTTGGTACTTCTGCTTACAGGGCATTTTGGTTACAGTGACTCTGAGAAGAGGTGTTACCACCCTCATTTGCCCATTGCGGAAATTGAGGTTCAGAGAGCAAGGCAGTTACAGAGCTAGAATTTGAACCTAAGAGTGCAGGGCTTGTCAGGAGTGATAGATGTGCTCTTTCTGTTACACAAAAATAGCCTTGTACTTTGGTTGGTGGCACTTCTGCTGTTGGTGACGTTCTATGAATCTACTTCATAGAGCACCTTACTTACTGGAAGAAAGCAACTACAAACCGCAGCATTTTCACTGGAAGAATAGACTGATTGCAAACTTCTTACTTTGTATTTTTAGAGGTTAACAAATGATGCCCTACATACACTGGCTTCAAAGCAATATTTAAATCTTCTATATTAATGCAATCTTTGTTTTATATAACAGATACTTTGAACATAATGAGTAGTATCAGCATTCTGGTTATATGTAAACTAAGCAACATTTTGGAAAGGTACTTTCGATGTAGTAATTTATTATTTCTAGGATGCAATGAAGAACAGATTGAGTAGTAAAAAGCTTCTACAAATTCAACATTCTTAAGACAGAGGACAGGTTCTAAAGCAAATCTCTGTTTCTAATGTAAACTGCAATGCTGTGCACATGCCTTTCCTCCTTGCATCAACTTTCTGAAAACATTTCTTAGTTCTTTCCAGTTATTCATGAAAGAACAATTTTTAAGGCCCCTGAAAGTAAAATTTACCACCCAAATTCCCAAAATGAATCACCAAATGCTAGATGAAGGAGATTGGTAACTTTGTGTATCAGGAAACAAAAACCAGTCTGCATGAGTCATCTCTGTGATCAAAGATAACACAGCCACAGCCAGGGCTTGGGGCAAACAAATAGCTCCAGCAAGCACATGCCAGAATCTCATGTTTAATGGTTTTCTCACATTAAAATGCATAAGTCAGCTCTGTGAAACAAGGAAGTGGAACCCAGGACACATACATAAGAAACACTCTCTTGAGTTTAGTTTCTTACGCTTCTGCTCCAAAGCCATTTCAATTTTTGGTAGAAACACAAAAATGAAGGTACTGTTTTGTCAAGAGGTAAGCAGAAAGGTAAGAGCTAACTAATATGACAGGTTTCTGAAAGGTTTCATGAGAAAATTTTAATACTTCTTGGAGGCCTACATATTTAGGCCTTTGATCCAAAATGAACAAAGTAATCAGAAGATGGCAAATGCCTGAAAAGATGTAACACAAGAAGTGGTAAAAGGCTCTAAAAGAAGAGAACTCTGTTATATTATTCCATGAATACTCTATATTCATGGCTTTTTTCAGGTACTACAAGCTTGAAAGAGAAGATGAGTGGGAATTCATGCCACATGGCATTACCATTTACATGCCACCCATTGCACCGCCTCGCAGACTCCTCCAGAGTGAAGAGTCAGATGTCCTGATGTCCTCTTGAACCCATGGACAGAAGATATATACCAGAACCAAGCCTGCCCCGTGCTGGCCAGGCTCAACACAGGAATAACGCAAACACGGGGCCATGTTTTTCAAAAAGAGTATCTTCTATCAACACCATCCACCCAACTGCCTTGGAGCAGACAGGGCTCAAGGAAAACATTACTTACACAGGTTCTAATGAGATCCTGTACCCTTGATATAAGCACCTTCCTCTGAAATACTGGGGGCAATGGCAAGAAAACCCAAGCCTCTGCTTTCACAAGACCCCTCTCAAAGTATCGTGTGTGTGCGCGCGCGCGCGTATAAAATGGTTTTTTATATATATGTATATATAAAAAATACTTAAATACAAAAGTTTTATATATAATATATAATAGTTTTATATATAATATATACAATAGGTTTATATATATATAAATAAATATATATATAATATGCCCGGGCGTGGTGGCTCATGCCTGTAATTCCAGCACTTTGGGAGGCCGAGGTGGGTGGATCACAAGGTCAGGAGATTGACACCATCCTGGCTAACACGGTGAAACCCCGCCTCTACTAAAAATACAAAAAATTAGCCAGGAATGGTGGCAGGCGCCTGTAGCCCCAGCTACTTGGGAGGTTGAGGCAGAATGGTGTGAACCCGGGAGGCGGAGCTTGCAGTGAGCTGAGATCGCACCACTGCACTCCAGCCTGGGCGAAGACCGGGACTCCATCTCAAAAAAAAAAAAAAAAAATATATATATATATATATAAAATATATATGACAGTATATATACATACATATATATATAAAAAATAGCCTCTGAAATAAGAACAAGATAAAATATTCCCATAAAACTTCCACGCCCACCTTGACCATTTCCACACAGCATGACACTACCTCATAATGAAGGGAACAAAAGGTCCCATGCTGAGAGCAGAAGAAGTACCATCCATCGGAGAAGGGTAGAGTCTCTCCAACACCAAAAGTAAGAGAAACATGCTTGGATGACGATTTGGTTCTCCCATATCACTGAAAAAACAATTATTACACATAAAAGATTTCACATTTAGGTAGTGAAGCACTCCTCCTTCAAACATGTCTCTCATGAAATAATTATGTACATGGCCAGGTACGGTGGCTTCTGCCTGTAATCCCAGCACTTTGGGAGGCCAAGGCGGGTGATCACCTGAGGTCAGAAGTTCAAGACCAGCCTGGCCAATATGGTAAAACGTCATCTCTACTAATACAAAAAATTAGCTGGGTGTGGCGGCGCACACCTGTAATTCCAGCTACTCAGGAGGCTGAGGTGGGAGAATCACTTGAACCCAGAAGGCGGAGGCTGCAGTAAGCCAAGATCGTGCCACTGCACTCCAGCCTGGGTGACAGAGTGAGACTCCATCTCAGAAAAAAAAAATTATGTATATAAAGTGAGACTCCACAATCAAGGGGATAGTTTTCCCTTTTTCTTTTCTTTTTTTTTTTTTCTACGTTCACTTCTTATCTCCCAAATGTACATAATAAGAAAAAACTGCTAGCAAAACAGGGAATTGGGCTTTTGTACAGGATCCTCTTCTCAAAGCTAATCATTTGCATAATTAGAGTACGCTACTTTAATTAGAATTGTTCCTATAGTAGAGAGGTGCCTGTTCCAGGGTATGAAATGTGAAACTTTCAACATCCAAATGTATTTAGGAAAGCATGAACAGTCACTAAATGTCAGAAAAGCACATTTGCATAAACTACTAATGTGAGCAAATACATCATAAACAGAAGTAAAATTCATTACTTTTATTTTCTAATTATAGACAATTAGTGTACATTCATACCAAGTGCAAAATTACAGGAAAAATACAAAACACATGCTTTATGAAGTCCATACTAAAAATTCCACTACCAGCTTTAGAATGTGTGTGTGTGTGTGTTTTTGTTTGTTTTTTTGAGACGAAGCCTTTTTCTGTCGCCCAGGCTGGAGTACAGCGGCAAGATCTCAGCTCACGCCAACCTCTGCCTCCTGCGTTCAAGTGATTCTCTTGCCTCAGCCTCCCAAGTAGCTGTGATTATAGGTACGCACCACCACGCCTGGCTAATATTTGTATTTTTAATAAAGATGGGGTTTTGCCATGTTGGCCAAGCTGGTCTCGAACTCCTGACCTTAGGTGATCCACCTGTCTCGGCCTCCCAAAGTGCTGGGATTATAGGCGTGAACCACTGCACCAGCTAGAATGTGATTTTTAAGACAATGGTGAACTATAAGACTGGAAGCCCTCACGATGGCCTTGCTCTGTGTTTCCAAGGACACTGGCCAGTTTCGCTCAGGTAGACCAGAACCATTTCTGAATACAAGTGATCATATTAGTCAGCTAACTGCTATAGTTTCACAATGGTAAGTTGCAACAAGCCAGTAATATAAAATGACAGGTATGCATAAAGCAAACTCAATATGTAAACACAGATTTTTTTTAAAAATTGGAAGAAAATAATTCATAATAGAAGAAATCACCATGTGATTCCTAGTTTCTACACCACTGAAAATGGAATTAAGTTTGATAAAATTTAAAATAAAATAGGATTTTTAAAATATAAAGACAGGATTTTACACAACTTTTCAGGTACAAATTTACTATAGAGAATCAAGCAATATGATATAATTATTAAAAAGTACTTTAATAAAAAAGTCAATTTTATTACAAGGAAGCAGTCTGACCATGCACAGTGGCTCAAGCCTGTAATCCCCACACTTTGAGAGGCCCAGGTGGGCAGACTGCTTGAGCTCAGGAGTTTGAGACCAGCCTGGAAACATGGTGAAACCCTATCTCTACAAAAAATACAGAAATGGGCAGGGAGTGGTGGCCACCACTGTACTCCAGCTTGGGTGACAGGGAAAGACCCTGTCTCAAGAAAAACATTTAAACAAATTTTAAAAAGGGAAGAACTGTATTAAAAACAGTTGCCTAGAGGGAAAATCTCAATTACTAAGGTAATTCACATCCTTGAGTTCATTTTGCCCCACCCAATTATCTTCTTACCTGTCTACTGCATTGGCTACAGTTTCCAACTGTTTGAGAAGAAAAGGATAGAGTTCTGGGAAACGAGAGAAAAACTCTCTCCCTGTCATTCTGGGAAAGAACGAGGAAAAAAGTTATTACCATTTATTCCCTTTGATCTGATAATAAAGCCTTTTTTAAAAAAAGGAAGATAGGTACAGTTATTTGTTTGGCTATTTAATTAAATACAGTTAAAAACAATCTACAGCATCTTAAGAATTTAACAATCAACATAAATGATAATTTTGATTTCTGAAGTGCTCTCAATCCATGAACTTTTATCTCAAAATTTATGCATGTTTACAAATATTTGATACGAAATTCTATCAGGGAAGAAATATGTAATCTGTGCAAACGCCAAGTTTCCACAATTGATTTGGACCATAAATAGAATCAACACCTGATTGACTGAGACTGACTCAGCTTCATTTATAAGGGCAGGTCTAGAACAAACTTTCCCAACCCTGGCACCAATGACAGTTTGGACCAAATAACTCTTTGTTTCAGGGGGCCGTCCTACGCATTGTGGGATGTTTAGCAGCCTCCGTGGCTTCTACTCACTAGATGCTAGCAGCACAACACCCCTCCCCAACAATCATGACAATGAAAATGTCTTTAGACATTGCCAAACATACCCTGTGGGACAAAATGGCCCCTGATTGAGAACCACTGGTTTGGAGTACGGTTATGAGAAGCACAGTCTTGGCATGTGAAGTTCTGGAAATCCAATGCTTGCTGAACTTGTAAGAATTATCTTTTTCAACTTTATAAAAACTTCTCTTGAACTATGAAAGTAAAATAGCTCCTCAGACTGCACCACTGACCAAAAAGCTCAAGCTAAATATGGCATTTAGGAACATACGGTCTCCATAACTATTAAAGAATTACTCTGAAGGGGTGACATAAATATTCCCTAACCTACCCATTTTTATCAACTCTACATGTTATGTTCCTATTAACTGAAATCCAGAGTATCACATTTTTAAAAAATTGAAACGTTCTTACACACAACAAAATGCTCTCATCAAGTGTACCATTCGACCCACAAACACATACACTCGTACTCCACATCCCTATGAAGACTCAGAAAATTTCCATCATCCCACAAAGATCCTCCATGCCCCTTCCCAGCAAACTCCTGCCCCACAAAGGAACCTCTGATTTGCTTTCTGTCATCACAGTTTGGTTTTGTCTATTCTAGAATTTCATATAAATATAATAATACATTTTTTTGGCTTGCTTTTTTCACTCAGCACAGAGTTTATCCATGTTATTCAACATATCAATCTAGTTCTTTTTCTGTTGAGTAGTATTCCACTACATGAATCTGTATGTTTATTAATTTCCTCTTGACAGGCATGGGTTCTTTACCTTTTTTTTTTTCCTTTTTTCTTTACTATTATGAATAAAGCTGCTATAAAATTCTTATATAAGACATTTTAAGAACATGTTTTCATTTCTCCTGAATTAATATCTGAGAGTAAAACTGTAACACATGTCTAACCATCTAGGAAACTGACAGTTTCCCAAAATAATTATACCATTTTACACTCCCAAAAATAAGGTAGATTTCTGATGGAGATTTCTACATTCCTTTCAACATTTGCTGTTGTTTTGTTTTTCCTTCCTTTGTAGCCATCCTTGTGGGTATGCAATGGTGTATCCCCCATGAATTTGATTTGCATTTCCTTGACGACAAATGATGTTGAACACTTTTCATGTGCTTTGGTCATTGGTATGACCCTTTGTGAAGTATCTCTTCAAGATTTTTGCTCATTTTTAATAGGTTGCTTTTCCTTGGTCATACACATGCATGGCATACACATTCTTCTAGTCTGTGGCTTGCCAAATTATTTAATAATGTCTTTTGATGAGCAGAATTTTAAAATTTTTGACAAAGTCCACTATTTAATCAATTTTTTTCTTTTATGATTCATGCTTTCTATGGCCTAAGAAATCTCTACCTAAGAAACATATCGTATGTCTTCTTCTAGAAGCTTTATGGTTTTAGCTTTTACATTGAGGTCTATGATCCATTTCAAATTAATTTTTGTGTATAATGTGAGATAGAGATCAAGGTTCTTTTTTTTCTACATTGGTATTTCATATTTTTAATAGGGAGATGTTGTTTTAAAAAAAAGATATGCCTTAAAAATGAGATGTGGTGCTGGGTGCAGTGGCTCCTACCTGTAATCCCAGCACTTTGGGAGGCTGAGCTGGGTGGATCACCTGTAGTTGGGAGTTCAAGACCAGCCTGACCAACATGGAGAAACCCTGTCTCTACTAAAAATATATAAAATTAGCTGGGTGTGGTGGTGCATGCCTGTAATCCCAGCTGCTCTGGAGGCTGAGGCAGGAGAATCACTTGAACCTGGGAGGCAGAGGTTGCAGTGAGCCAAGATCGTGTCATTGCACTCCAGCCTGGGTGACAAGAGTGAGAATCTGTCTCAAACAAACAAACAAACAAACAAACAAACAAAGGAGATGTGCTATGCTCATAGATTAGAGGATTCCATATTATAAAGATGACATTCTCCCCAAACTGATTATAAATGCAACGCAATTCCAATAAAAACAGTAATTGTGTGTGTGTGTGTATGTGTTTGTGTGTCTGCAAGTGACCTGAGAAGTTGATTTTACTTCATTTTATTTATTTATTTTTTTTGAGACAGTCTTGCTCTGTTGCCCAGGCTGGCGTGCAGTGCTGCAATTTCGGCTCACTGCAACCTCCGCCTCCTGGGTTCAAGCAATTCTCGTGCCTCAGCCTCCCGAGTAGCTGGGATTACAGGTGTACGCCACCACATCTGGCTAATTTTTCATATTTTTAGTAGAGACGGGATTTCACAATGTTGGCCAGGCTGGTCTCCAACTCCTGACCTCAGGTGATTGGCCCACCTCAGCCTCCCACAGTGCTGGGATTACAGGCAGGAACCACTTCACTCGGCCCTGAGAGGTAGATTTTAAAATGTATACAGACACATCAAGGACCAAGAGTAAGAGTATCAAAGATAATCTTAAAGAAGAATGAGGTTGGAGGACTCATCCAGATAGCTAAAAATACCATAAAACTCAAGGACTCTGGGTACGAGTAAGCCAATAAAATAGGATAGAAAGCAAAGGAGCAGACATACATTAATACATGTATAAAATCTTGATTTGTGAGAGTTAATACCTCAGATCACAGAGAAACGTAGTGTGGTAACTGATTATCCACATAGACAAAATTACAACTGGATCCCAATCTCCCACTGATATGGAAAGCAGGCAGGGAAGTGCTGGGAGGAAGAGGGCAGGTTTCTGGTGAAGGCTCCGCCCCTGGCCTATGCCCACGGACCTAGGTGAAGACGGGCACTCCTGCCTTCACGCCCAAATGCTGCATTTCCCAAGACCACCCTGGCCTCCCATGCCCCTATCCTGTGCCTATAAAATCCCCTGAAACCCTAGCACGCAGGCACACAAGTGGCTGGACGTCAAGAGGAGCACATGGGCGGAGGAACACACAAGCAGCTGGATGTCAAGAGTATACCAACAGGCACCAGCAGGCCGGATGCCAGCAGGCCATCGCCTAGCGAAATAATGCAGAGTTTGGCCAGGGCAGTCAAAGAAGAGACAGGCCGCCGAGTGGCCCAAATCCAGGGGAAAACCATCTCCCTTCTGGTTCCCCCATCTGCTGAGAGCTACTTCCACTCAATAAAACCCTGCACTAATTCTCCAAGCCTACATGTGATCAAATTCTTCCAGTATACCCAGGCAAAAATCTTGGGATACAGAAAGCCCTCTGTGCTTGTGATAAGGCAAGGGGGTCTAATTGAGCTGACTAACACAAGCTGCCTATGGACAGTTAAACTGAAAGAGCACCCTGTAACACAAACCCACTGGGACTTCAGCCGTAAACATCCACCCCTAGACACTGCTGTGGAGTGGGAGCCCCACAGCCTGCCTGTCTGTATGTTCCCCTACAGGTTTGAGCACGGGGCACTAAAGAAGCGAGCTATGATCCCATCACACACCCTGTGAGGGGGGCAAGGGAACCTTTCCTGTTTCACTACTATGTATAAAAATTAAATTCCATTGACTTCAAGGCTTTAAAACAGCATAAAGAAATAGCCGGGGCCGGGTGCAGTGGCTCACACCTGTAATCCCAACACTTTGGGAGGCCAAGGCGAGCAGATCATCTGAGGTCGGGAGTTCAAGACCAGCCTGACCAACATGGAGAAACCCCATCTCTACTAAAAAAAAAAATTACAAAATTAGCTGGGCCTGGTAGTGCACGCCTGTAATCCCAGTTACTCAGGAAGCTGAGGAAGGAGAATCACTTCGACCTGGCAGGCAGAGGTTACAGTGAGCCAAGATCACACCATTGTACTGCAGCCTGGGCAACAAGAGACTCCGTCTCAAAACAAAACAAAACAAAACAAAAAAAGAGAAAAGAAATAGCCGGGCGGGGTGGCTCACGCCTGCAATCCCAGCACTTTGGGAGGCTGAGGACAGCAGATTACTTGAGTTGAGGAGTTCGAGACCAGCCTGGCCAACATGGTGAAATCCTTTCTGTACTAAAGATACAAAAATTAGCCAGTTGAGGTAGCATGTGCCTGTTAATCCCAGCTACTTAGTAGGCTGATGCAAGAGAATTGCTTGAACCTGGGAGGCGGAGGTTGCAGTGAGCTAAGATCGTGCCACTGCACTCTAGCCAAGGCTACAGAGCGAGACCCTGCCACCAAAAAAAAAAAAAAAAAGAAGACGACGAAAAAGAAATGCATGAAGGGTTTTTTTTTAACGTATTTCGAAAATTTGGGATTCTGCCCTGAGCTTTCCTGGTATGATGGTTCTTTCTTTCCCCTAATGACAAATCCAGGCAGCCTAGTTAGTACACCTTCCATGTGGCAACCTGGGCAAAAGCGCCCTAGGAAATTCTAACTTAATTCTATTTAGCCACCTGGATTCTCTTAAAAGGATTAACCTGGTCCTAAATCATAAGATAATGACTACTTGCTTGAGTACACAGCTTGCTGAGTCTTCCTAAGGTGGCCCATGAGTATATAAAAGGTCTCTGTAAGATTTATAAAAATGCC